CCACCACCACCACCAACCCTCTGAGTTAATAACTTTTCTTATCTCCCTGAAGATAATCATTAAAGTTTATTTTTAACTGAAGTTTTCTCATGCACAGTCTCTGTCTTCTGAGTTCCTTTCTCCCTCCTGTTCATTGTTATCATTTACATGCTAGAGATTTATCTCAAATATCTGGCCATTGTTTGTTGTCTGTTGATTTGCGGTGTTAGGAATGAGCAGGAAGTTTGATGGAAGTTCAGAAGTTCAGGAGTTTGAGTAAACTCCAGGAGACAGTGAAGGACAGGGAAGCAGGTCTGCCTCCTGCAGTCCATGGGGTCCCAAAGAGTCACGGCTGAGCAACAGCAAGTGGGTGACAGAGGGGACTGTGATCTGCAAGGCAGGACTGTGGCCAGCGGCTCAGTTTCCATTTCTTGCAGATGGCTCAGCGTTCCCGCCGGCACAGGCCTGTCTGCACATGCAGGCTGGAGCCAGCCGGTGACGTGGGCGGGGCTTGGGGGGCCAGTGCTCGGGCTTGCAGGCAGCCAGCCTCGCCCACTGCCTGTCGCCAAGTGCAGGAGGCCAACCCAGATCTCCGCCAGGCCTGGATTCCTGAGAGAGAGTGATGCCACCAAGTTTGCGCTGCTGCAGTAGGTGCCTCGAAATCCACCGGGACTGAGTCAGCTGAGGAGGGAGGAAGCCAAGCACCTTCTAGAGGTCAGCGCCTCTGATTATTCGGAGCTTTTTTCCTGCAGCAAGGTGATCCCACCAGCCATCCTAAGGTCCTCCCTTAACCCTCTCTGCCAACGAAGAAGGAATTCACAGGGCCAGGACTCCATCTCAGGCCCATCTGTGCTGATCATGCTCAGCTGCCTCTCCAGTGGACTCTGAACTCTCTGCTTAGTGCCTGTGGGAACGACAATGGAAGGATAAGACGCTCTCCGGACTGGGGAATCTTGAAGATCACATCCAGGTTACTCATTGCCTAAGAAGAAACATACCTTAATCACCCCTGTCTCCAGACAGGTCATAAACATTTTCCGTATCTATCAGGATGTAATCACAGGCTTATCGATTATTAACTGGTTGGAATGTGACCACAAGCTTATTGATTATTAACTGTTTGGAATGTAACTGCGGGCTTATTGATTATTGACTGTTTGAACACATAACACGTGAATGATGGGGTTATTGTAGTTGTATTTACCCTACCTTTGTTTATGTAAGTCTCAAGGTAATTAGGGTGGTGGGTTTGGACACGTACACATGGGGTATAAAAGATTTTCACAAATGCTGGTCGGGGTCCTTGGTTAAGAGGAGACTCTGCCTTGGGCCTGCCGGTGTAATAAACTGCACTCCACTATCTGCATTGTCCTTCTGAGTGAGTTTGCTTCCCGGAATGCGTGGCTATAACACCAACAGCCTCAATGCCAGCCATCCCCCCACCCCCTTGATCTTGCCTACCCCCCAACCCCTAGTCTTGCCCACCCCCACCCCCCAATCTTGCCCACTCCAAATTCCTGATCACTGGCCTCTGCCCCAGGCTCTGGACGCTGACCTTGGCCTTCTCTCTTTTCCTGGCGAAGTGGGCAATGAGAGTTGCCACTCAAAGCTCTTCCTTGAGGAGAGCATCCTTCTCCAGGGTCCTTCAGGGCAGTCCACCCCGGCCGGAAGCCCAGCTCTTTCTTAGCTCCCAGGGTCCTCCAGGCCGAGTGGGGTGGGTACAGGCATGTTGGCAACGCGAATCACCAACTCCTGCAGCTTCCCAGGCCCCTCAATAACCACATGCAGAGGAAGCAGTGCCCTTTGGGACACCATCTCTGCCTTGGTGTTCTCAGGGGCAAGTCAGACTGATCCTCTGGTGCCCCAAGTGTTCAGTCTCCTCCAGGGCTCAGAAATGAGCCAAGAACTGTTCCTGGAAAGAGACTGTGTGGGCTCCTGCTTTCTCCCAACAGGATTTCTCCACTCGAGGAGGAAAATGACAGAGGAAAAGGCTTCCAGTTGCTGTGGCTGGGTCACCTCTGCAGAGGAGACTGAAAACACAACAGACAATGGCCGGACTATATATGGAAGTAGAATCTGACCCACGGCCTGCAGCGACCTGCCTGAAAACCAACCTCGTATTTACAGTGACCGGACAGGAACCCAGCCTGTCAGACTTTAGGTCAGACTTGCAGGAAGACTGACGACTCTCTCTAGGATGATTTAGGATAACCCTTGTAATAATTGCCCCAATAAGTGACTGCTTCCTTAATTTTCATTCCCTCTTCCAACTTAGGGGACTTCCCTCATAGCTCAGTGGGTAAAGAATCTGCCTGCAGTGTAGGAGACCTGGATTCTATCCCCAGTTCAGGAAGATCCCCTGGAGAAGGAAGTGGCAACCAACTCCAGTATTTTTTGCCTGGAGAATCCCATGGACAGAGGAGCCTGGCAGGCTGCAGTCCATGGGGTCATGAGAGTCGGGGACACAACAGAGCAACTTAACCATCACCTTCCAACTTAAGGCCAACCAGAGGAAGCCAAATCTGCTCCCCTAAGCAGTGACATAAGACGTCCCACTTCCGATCAGCCCACCCAAAGCGTCCCAGGCTGACAGCCTTCATTCAGGGCACGCCTGAAGTCTCCCCTTTTCAACCCCATAAACTTCCCCACTCCTCTCTCTGCCTTTGAGCTTTGCGGGTCTAGTGGCTGTGGCTGACTCCCTTGCTGGAGCGCTCCCTGCCTTGAGGACACACGCTGCTTGTTCTCATTTGCTGGTCTTTACTTGCGCAGAGGGCTGCTAGAACCAGCTAGGAGGAAAGTGGGGTTTCCGAAAGAGATGACGGAGGTGCTGCGGTCAGGAGATGCGTCTCTGTTCGTCCACGGGGGCAGTGGACTAGAGCAGTGAGCTCACTAGAGCAGTGAGCTCCCGGGCAGAGGGAGCAGCCCAGCCCAGCTCTGACACCATCCTTTGGTCTCCCCAGGGGCCAAAGTCACCTGGTCAGGGTCGCCAGGCCCGGGCCTGTCCCCAAGAGAGTCTGTCCCACTTTGGCCCTGCAGCCGAATGTCCATGTGAAGGAGAGGACTGTGCCCTTTAGTGGCTCTGATCAGCTTCGTGTCTTCCTCCCAACCACCCTCCAGAGAGACATTTTCTCAGACATTTTCCCATCACTGACAGCCCTCAGGGCCTGGTCTGAGAGAGCCTGAGGGACCTAGTCCTGGGCAAAGGAGAATACCCCAGGGTCACAGCCCTCTTTCCTCCCCTGATCACCTTCAGAGGCAGGACAAAGGTAGGAGGTGACTGGATTCCCTTCGCCTGACATCCAAGGGACTCGATAAGCTTTAGTAATTATTACCATAATTTGCAAGGGCAGCTATAGAGGGCTGGGGGATGCAGGCCTCTTGTTTTGATCCACACTCCCTGAACCCAAAGTCCCCCACTGGCAATATCTGTTGCAGCCTCTATCAGCTTCCCCACACCCCCCGAGGGCCCTGCCTCAGCTCTCCGGGGCCCCCAGGCCTCTCCGCGGGTGTTCAGGCTTTCGGTCCTGCCGCTGGACCACGCCTCCTCCGACGCCACGGGTGGCCCCTAAATAGGGCCTCTGGGTGTGGGATGTACATGCAGGCATTTCTCTGCCAACCCGTCACCCCTGAAGCAGGCAGGCAGGAAACCTCAATCGCCACACAGATGCCTCCCCCTTGGCCCTCAAGTGGCATCTCCTGGAAGTCTCAACCTGTTATGAGTTCTCTCATAAGAAACAAGAGAAGTTGGGACTTCCCTGGTGGTCCAGTGGTTAAGAATCTACCTTCCAATACAGGAGGTGCGGGTTCCATCCCTGGTCTGGGAACTAAGAACCCACAAGCTGCAGGGCAACTGAGCCCGCACACCACAACCTGAGAAAACCGTGCGCCAAGAGAAAGACCCAGCACAGCCAAGATTTTCTTAATTTAATTAATTTAAAAAATTACTTTAAAAAAGAAATGAGAGGTAGACTTCCTGCGAGGTCAGGATCTCCTCCTTTGAGCAGGAAGCTCTGATGCTGGGCAAGGCTTCCCAGAGAAGGGTCTTCTCCTCCAGGCTGCACCACAGGGGGCTCCCCATGACCCCTTCTCTCCAGCCATTCCTGAGAGTCCTGAGAGCCCCAACCTATTTGCACCCCAATGCCTCCCCACTGTGGACAACCCAGAGCCAGCTCACCCAGGCTGGGCTGTTCTCTCTGCCTACCTAACAAGGATGGGAGGAGAAGGCAGCAGGCAAGGCATGTGGATCACTGTGCTGCTCCCACGCCCGGGAGGCACGGGGAAGCAAGGACAGCCCCACCTGAGCACAGGTGACTGACCCTCCCACTGCCCCAGTGGGGGCTGCTCTGAGCCACTCAGCTCCTCTCCACTCCCCTCCTCTTGGCCAAGGGCCCCTGCCAAGGGCCCCTCAGCTCCTGCTGTCCTGCACAGGGGCCCTCTGGCAGATGGCTGGCTGAGACCAGAAAGCATGTTTAATTAAGTGAAGCTGTCTCTCTAGACTGTGTGGATGTCCAGAGCAGGGACCATAGTTAATTTCTCTTCCTTTTTTTTTTTTTTCCTTTCCCCTCTTTGTTTCTGGAGTTCAGTAAACACAGACCAGCCCAAGGGCTTCAGGAAGACACCAATTATGTTTTGAAAGTGAAAGTGTTAGTTGTTCAGTTGTGTCCGACTCTTTGCGATCTCAGGGACTGTAGCTCACCATAGAATTCTCCAGGCAAGAATACTGGAGTGGGTTGCCACTCCTTCCTTCGGGGGATCATCCTGACCCAGGGATCAAACCTGGGTCTCCTGCACATAAGGCAGATTCTTTTCTGTTGAGCCACCAGGGAAGCCCGCTGTGTTTTAGGATCCAAGCCTCCCAGCCAGTTGCCCCGGCCCGCCCCAAGCCTGAGAGTGAGAGAGGGTCAGGGAGGCCGCCTGCCCAGAAAACTCAAGACTCACTGCTTCTCTCTTGGAAGTTTTATTGGTCCTGGGGAAAGGGAAGCAGGCAGCCCCCTGCCTCGTGCAGAGAGTGCTGCAAGCCCTCACTGTTTCCCGTTGCCATTGATGGGCCGGTTCACGTGCTCCGGGGAGGCCAGGAAGGCCTTGAGCTTGGGCCGGGAGTTGAGGCGGGCCACGTAGGCTGAGAGCAGGGGGAAGGAGTCCAGGCAGCTGGGGGACAGGACCTGGTGAATCCGAAGCAGGTCCAGCAGGTTGTAGTCTGCAAAGGAGATCTGCAAGGCCAAGCGGGGTGGGATTCAGAGGGTGTGGGAGTTGGGGGGCAGGGCGCCGAGGCAGTTCCCAGCTTCGCTGAACCCATGATCCCCGTGCTGTCTCTGCACGGGTGCGCCACGTGGACAGAGTGGGGTGCGGAAGGGGCGGGGATGGGGCCGGCTCACCTGGTCGCCCACGATGAAGGCCTGGCCACCCTTGTTCTGGGACAGCAGGGTCTCAAAAGGCTTCAGGTGCTGGGGCAGTGCCTTCACATAGTCCTCCTTGCCCGCCTCCTGCCAGAAAGAGGCCACTGCATATCATCCTCCTGGCCCTGGCCTGCTGCCCACCCCCGTCCCCATCCCCGGCCCCCGGGGATGCTCCCTTCCTCTGCTCCATCTCAGTGGATCCCACCCGCCCAGCCCCGCCTCTTCTCCTCACTCCCCACCCCAGGCTATTGCCACATCCTCTCCATTTCAGAGACTGAGCCTTCTCTAGTCCACTCTTGTCACGATCACTCCCCAGGCTTGCAAAAGCCTCACAGGATCTTTCCAGATCGTACAGACACCACCCTGCTTAGGCTCCCCAAAGAGCATCTCCAAGCCAGCTGGCCGAGGCCTTCAGGAGCGGGCCTGCTGTCCCTCCAGCTCCATCCATCTCCTGACACTCCTTCGCACACACACAGAGGCATACCCTGCCTCTTTGAAACTGCTCCCAAGTCCCCAGATGTACCCTGTGCCTGCACACTTTGTGCATCTCAAAGTACCAGCATCCCTTCCAGAAGCTCCTCCTTCTGCACCTGCTCCAGGAAGCCCTCCTGACCTCCCTGGGCTGAGGATCAGGGAACCACCTCTGGCTGGTTGTCTCCTGTCCTAGCACCATTCTGCCATGGCCTGCTACCTGACTGGGTCCCTCCTCCAGGCAGGGAGGCAGTGGGGTATGTCCAGTCTATAATGGCTCTTGATTCCCACCACCCCCTCCCCAGAACCAGAGGCAGCCCTGGGGTTGGGGGGGTGGGGATCAGCCACAGACACAAGAGGGGGCGGTATAGGGTGAGAAGGAAACCAGCCCCTTTCTTTCTTTGTCCTCCGTGTCCACCCTCGTGCCTGCACTTACGTAGTTGGTGTAAATGAGGGAGACGTATTTGCAGCGAAGGTCCTCCACGCCATCATTCACCATGTCCACCAGGGCCGCCTCCTGCTGGTCCTTCCCATACAGCCCTGGGGTGGCGGGAGAGCAGAAGGCGTGAGTGGGAGCCTGAAAGCCACGGCAACCTGACCCCCCGCAGCCAGGCCACGTGGCTGCCGGTGTGCCTGGGCCAGGCAGGAGGGAGCAGGATTCGCAGGAAGAAAGGCGCTGAGTCTGCGCTCAGAATTCAGGGGCAGGTGGCCCCGCTATAGGGCAGGGATCTTCCCAACCCAGGGACAGAATCCAGGTCTCCTGCATTGCAGGTGGATTCTTTACCAGCTGAGCCACAAGGGAAGCCCAAGAATACTGGAGTGGGGAGCCTATCCCTTCTCCAGCGGATCTTCCCGACCCAGGAATCAAACCGGGGTCTCCTGTGTTGCAGGCGGATTCTTTACCAACTGAGCTACCAGGGAAGCCCTAGATAACCTCCACACGCCTCCATCCCAAGGGTAGCTGGGCGATTTGATCGACATGGAGGAGGCTCAGCAGGTGCTCAGGAAGGCGGGCTGATGCTGCCGCCGCGGCCTGGGCTGAGCCACCTGCAGTGCCGGGACTCACCGAGGGTGCGGCCCAGGTGTCGCAGGATGGCATTGGACTGGTACAGCGTGAGGTCTCCGTCCTGGAACTTGGGGAGCTGCCCGTACAGCTGGGGGGACGCACAGCTCTGTCAGAGGTGCTGGGCTCGGCTGCCCCTCACCCTAGTGTTGAGCCCCACCCGCCCCCACAAGGTCAGGCCCCTGAGCCAGGGACGGGACAGAAGTACTCACGCAGGAGGCCTTGAGGGGGCCCTGCAGCCAAGCCTGCATGGCCACCACCTCCTCCTTCCAGCTCTGGTCCTGGTCGGCCAGCAGCATGCGCATGGCCTCGCAGCGCCCTGGGGGAGGGGAGGACGGGGCCGTGAGGGTGGGCAGTGCCCTGGGCAGGGGCCAAGGGGCTGGGGGCTGCTTGGAAGACCTCACAGCACACGGTGGAGGGGCCGGCCAGGGCCGCGAGGCTTGAGGTACGCTAGCCCGGGCAGCTCCAGGGCCCAGGAAGGAGGCTCGAGTTAGTAGCCACGTGATGCCAGGGGAAAAAGCGGGGGTGTGGACTGCAGCCCCCAGCCTCTGGCTCCCCTCTCACCCGCACCCTGCCGTCCCAGGCCCCTACCTTGAACCGGGAAGTAGACAATGGTGTAGGGCGGCACTGCAAGATGCACAAAGAAGCCAGTTAGCGGCGGGAGAGGCCTGTTCCGGGGGAGACGACACCGGCCCGTCCTCCCCGGGGTCCCATCCCCGGCTCTGGGCGCTCCAGCCCGGCCCCTCGAGAGCCCGAACTGCCCCACCAAACACCCTGGGCGCCCCCCTCGGAATCCCTGGGAGCCCCAGGCAGCGGGGAACTCACTCCTGGCGACGGGGAAGTCTGCAAAGGCGGCGGTGGCGGCGGCGGCGGCGGCGGCAAAACTCCAGCGCGCTCGGCAGCGGCCTGAGCCTTAAAGCGGTGGGCGCGCCCCGCCCCCGCCCGGCCGGCCGGCCCGCCCCCCGTGCTGAGTCACGGCGCTGGCCCGGAGCCGCGGCGCAGTTGCCCCCCGCCCCACCGCTTAATCTCCGTCTCCTGGGGGCCCGCAGCCTGCCCGGGACCGACTGCCGAACGTCCGCCAGGCATTGATGGGCGAGGGCTTCCAGAGCCCGGAGGGTCCGCGCGGTCCGACCCCTAGTGGGGTTGCAGACCCCAGACACGCAAACCCCTGCGTGTGGACACTTGTTCAGCAGACAAAAGGCAGATGCTGCACACAAAGACGGAGACACACCCCTGTGCACCGACGCCCGCACACCCAGCTCACACCCTAGGTTGTCTTTTCAGACTCAGGGACCGTTTGGAGGCCACCTTGGGGTTCTTGTATGACTCATGTGCCCTGCTGCCCCTTCCTTACCATTTTTCTCTAAATTAATTAATTTAAAAATTAATTGGGCTTCCCCGGTGGTGCTAGTGGTAAAGAACCTGCCTGCCAGTGCAGGAGACCCTGGTTCGATCCCTGGGTCGGGAAGATCCCCTGGAGAAGGTCATGGCAATCCACCCTAGTATTCTTGCCTGGAGAGTCCCATGGACAGAGGAGCCTGGGGGGCTACCGTCCATGGGGTCACAGAGTTGGAGAAGAGTGAGGCGACTGAGCACACACAAAAATTAGTTAATTCTCACTTCAGCTCAGATATGCCTGCAGAGGGAACCTGTCTTACTCTCCTAAGTGGAAGCAAACACCACTTGTGACACGAGCCTCACCATAGAAACGCGACCTGAGAAGAGCATGGTTTTTTAAACCCCAGACAATAGGACATTGTGTGTGTGTGTGTGTTACTTGCTCAGTCCTGTCCGACTCCTTGTGACCTCATGGACTGTGGCCCACCAGGCTCTGTGGTGCATTAAATTCTCCAGGCAAAAATACTGGAGTGGATTGCTATTTCCTTCTCCAGGAGATCTTCCTGACCTAGAGATCAAACTCAGGTCTCCTGCACTGGAGGCACATTCTTTAGAGTCTGATCTTCCCTTTTCAAACGTGCCACTAACAGCAAAGTTAGCAGTTTCTGGCACAATACCACCCAGCTGATCAGCATCCTTCAGTTCCATCATGATTTAGAGCGATTTTAAAGGATTACAGGACAAGCATCCAAGCTATTTAACCCCAACTGTCCACCTGGGAGCCCCTTTCCGGGTTGTTCAGGCCCTACTCTGAGTCTCCCTGATGGCAGTGATGGAGAAAGCTTCAGAGAGGGGTGTCCAGGTGGTGTTTCATAAGGACCCCTCCCCTAGAGCTGGCTGAGCTGGCTGAGACTCCAGAGGAGCCAGGCCCCAGGCAGGACGCCTTGGGTTGGGCCCTGGGCAAGTCCTCCAAGCACATCCAAGTGGAAGCTTCTGGACTTGCTGACTGTGTGGGGAAGGAAGCCTTAATGGGAGACAGAGAGGGGGACCCGGGAGGAGAGGCAGCCACTGGGAGGACACCCAGCATCCTGCTGGACCTGGTGAGTCCAGGTGTTTGTGGGATTGGGGTGGCGGTGGGGGCAGAGGCAGAAAGAAAACCCAGACAGGAGTCAGGAGAACCACATTCCTGCCTAAAGACCAGTGCAGCTCTCCTGACCCCCCTGACATCTCCTGCACCCCTACCTGCCCCACCCCAGCAGGGATTTTTCAGGGGCCATGCAGAGCTTGAACAATACCGTCAATATGTAACTTTCTAAGTGCGTAATGAAACAATCATTTCCTTATACATCACCACTGGCCCGGGCCGAGGTGGTACAGGCAAGGACAGGCACTGCTGTGAGGCAGTCAGTTCTGGCCCCCGGCAGGGCTGGGCCAAGCCATCAGCACAGGCCTTGGGCCTTAGCACCGCTCCAGGTTCCCACCCCCCAGGGGCTAGCACTTAGGGTCTCTGCTCCTCCCCCACTCACGACCCTCTTCCCTCAGGTCCTACCAACACCGTCTTCATCCCTTAAGGCACAAAACTCTCTTTTTCTTCCAGAAGAGCTCCCTTTGCTTATTTGACCTGAGCTAAGAGTCACCTGAAATTTGCCTCCCCCAGTTTTTAACATTGGGTATTCAATGAACTACAAAGAGCAAAGAAAAAAATTAAGAAACAGTTGCAATTTTATATCGAAAACAACCCGCCTATACAGTTCCCTTCCTGCTACATTCTCCCTTGGCAGCACATTCCACAGCCCTGATGAGGACCACGCGCCCCCCACCTGCAAAGACACAGCCGCATCTGCACAACCCTTTGACACACATCACACACACGCAAACACACCTGCACACCCCACGCAACATGATGGGGACTAGGATCTCACCAGGCCCCGCAGAGGCCCCCTCGTCTGGGCTCTCCAGGGCCTGAGAGGGACAGCCAGGCCTCAGGTCTTCGTGTACAGGCAGGGTCCTTTCTGCTGCTCACTCGCTCAGTCATGGCCGACTCTCTGCGATCCCGTGGACTGCCACATGCCAGGCTTCCCTGTCCTTTACCAGCTCCCGGAGCTTGCTCGAACTCACGTCCATCGAGTCGGTGATGCCATCCAACTATCTCATCCTCTGTTGTCCTCTTCCCCTCCTAGGTCTGGGCAATTCAAGTGGGGGGTTGAGGTGGATGAGGTTGGGGGGTGACCCTGGCTGGTGTTCCCGCCCCCACCCGTCCTGCTGTGGCCCCAGCCCCAGACCTCTGTCCCTTTCCCACGGTTCTGAGTAGGCTTAACTCAACCTCGCTGATTGCCCTGGGGTATACAGGAGCATTTGTCGACCCCTGCCTGCCTTCCCTGTGCCATGTGGGCCTTAAGAGATCTCCAGGGTGCGTTTCATTTTTTCAGGCAGGGCTTTATTGGGGCCTCTACCCGGGTTCCATCCCTGGGTCAGGAAGGTCCCCCGGAGGAGAAAATGGCAACCCACTCCATTGCTCCTGCCTGGAGAATTCCATGGACAGAGGAACCTGGTGGGCTACAGTCCGCGGGGTCCCAAAGAGTCTGACACGACTGAGCGACTAATACCTTCACTTTTACTTTCTGGTAACGCAAGGGAGATGGAAAACAGCAAACAACAGTTGCCCTTGCTCTCCGGCGTGCTGTGGGGGCAGTGGCGGTGAGCTTGTTCTTGTGTTGAGTGAGGGTAGGGCTGGGGCCAGGAGTCAGGCCGGAGGGCTGGCTTAGGTGTTTTGTCCACTCCTCTGTTGGTTCCTGGGTTCACTTCAGCTTGTCGCGTCCCCCCTCCCACGGCGCAGTCGCAGGGCCATCCTGGGCCGCTCCGCCTCCTGGACCTCAGGGGTGTGTGTGGTGTGTGTGCAGCACGCATGCTCCTCAGATTCTGGCCCGCTGTCCTTGCTCCGGCTCCACCCTCCCGCTTCGTGTGCATTTAGTCAGTTCCGTGTTCCCTTTATCCCCACATTCCACTCTGCTGCGTCCCAGGCGTGTGAACTCTCGATTTACATAAGTAGCGCCCGGCTGCCTCCCAAAAGGCTGCTCCAGCCCGCCCCAAACCCCAGCTACTCTTCAGATTCATTCCTACCCTTCAGACTCATTCCAGCCCCATGTACCCCCAACACGCAGCATCAGCAGCTTTGGCATGTTTGCCAGTCCCAAAGGTATGAAGTTGTTCTGAATGGCATCCCTCTTTACTAAGGATCTGCATCACCTCTTCCCATGCACCTTGAATTTTGCTTTCCTCTTCTGTTTTGCCCTTCTTATCTTGGCCATTTTCTCTTTGATTTGCTGCCTATTTCTTGTTGATTTGCAGGAGTTTATTCTAGATATCCGGCTTCCTTGGTGGCTCAGACAGTAAAGAATCTGCCTGCAATGATGGAGGCGTTGGGTTCCCCTCTGGGTTAGGAAGATCCCCTGGAGAAGGGAATGGCTTACCCACTCCAGTATTCTCCTTGCTTAGAGAATCCCATGGACAGAGGAGCCTGGAGGGGGACAGTCCTTGAGGTCACAGACGTTTCAAGCATTACAAAAACCTTCTCTGTTCAGTCTGTCTCTTCCCTTTGTTCAAGATGTCTCTCGTTAAACAGTATAATCAAATTCATAGAGGTGTTTCACTAAACAATGTAATCAAATTCATCAGGAGGCTTTTCTCTGGGGGAGTGGATTGCTTGTGTTTTGTCCTTTTGAAACTTTGTTTAAAAATCCTTTTATTTATGAA